GATGTAGTCAGTCAGGCGGACCACAGGAGGAAGTCAGCAGGTTGTGTGTGATCAGGAAGAAAACTGTCATGGAATTGGCAGCCAGTGGGTGACCTGGAACCGTGAAGGGGAGGACCCAGGACTCTCAGAAGCCCCTCAGGAGGGGATTGGCTATCAGCAATTTGACCATGGCCATGTCTAGTTTCTCCTGGGAGAGTGTAGAGGGTGAGGGGATGTGCAAATAGCCCATGTGAAAATAGGAGCCAGGCACAGCATTTATCTCCTGGGCATTCGCACATGCTATCTTAGTTCTCACCACAGGCTTTAGTAGCTGTTCCCACCTCCGGGATCCCAGTGAGAAGACTGAGGCTCATACAAGTCAAATAATTTGCCTAAGGTCAGTGTTAGGTTGTCTACTAAACTAAATAAAGTCTGCTTAGGAACATCTAAGCAGGAACATCTAAAAACTTGATTTTTGAAATTAAAATTTTACTTTTCTATGTCTGCTTCAAAGAAATTACTTTTGGAAAAAATCAGAACTTTGTTGGACTTCCTTATAATTATGTTTATCCTAAACAAAATGGAAGGTGAGGGGTGAAAAAGGGCTTTCTCCACTTTTGTCTCCTTTTGGGGGTTTTGGGGCACGAGAACAACCTTTTCTAGAAGATTTCCTCAGCAGATTTCCCATCGGCTAGGACTGGGTCACACACACACCCAGACGAGTTCCTGGCAAAGGGAAGCAGCATTGCATTAATTGTCTTGGAACAATCACAGTTTATACTGTGGGCTGGGCAAATTGCCACACCGTACAATTGAGTTCTATTAGCAAGAAAGAGGGGACAACAGCTGTTGAGTTAGCAATTAGCGGAGCTAGCACAACCCTTTAGGACACTCCAAAGTCATGGGGGAGCTAGTGAAGCGTGGATTATTCATTTACCAAATGGTTACCTTGGTTTAGCAGTTATTAACTATCATTTTAAAAGAGACTATTAATTGACACCCATAGGGACTTGAATCCCATGAGCTAGCATAGTTAGTATTATGTTCTAACCAAAGCTTGCCTTGATCCTGTCTATTTCTCTCACTTTCCTTAAACAACTAGGCTCCTTGTGACCTGTCTTCACTCTGTCTGGACTCCCCATTCCCTCTTCAGTTCATTGTCATCCACCTTCCACCTCACCTCTTCCTTGAAACTGTTGGTAAAGATCATGAATGAGTATTAAACTCCCAACCCCTGGCACACTTTTCCTCCCACAGCTCACTCAACCCTGTGGCACATGGCACCATCAATGCCCGACAGTCTTGACAAGCTCTCCTCCTTTGGGGCCTGGGCCCCTATTCTCTCTTCAACCTGACTGGTCTACTACCTATTCTCAATTGTTGGGTCTCAAGGGCTTATTCTCAATTGTTGGGTCTCACTCCCCTGGATGCTTTCCTTTACTTCTCTCTCCAGATATTGTCCTCACAGTCTGTGCTGCCAACTCAAATCTCCAACTCCAGTGCATGCTGGGGGCCCGTGCTGCAGGCCTGTATGTTTAATTGACTTTTGGATGGTTCCACCTAGAATCTCACAGGTACCTCAAGTTCAGTTTCTTCTAAACTGGATTCATCCTCAACTCTGTCAAACCTAGACCCTAATTTTGTACTCCTGATCTCGGTGACTGGCACTACTATACATCCAGCCACTTGGCTGAGCCAGAAACCTGGGTCCCACCTGAATCATGTATAAATAATGATTGAGTCATCTTGCTTCTGCCTACTTAATATCTCAAGCATCTCTGTCCTCTTTTGTATCAACAATTTCCACCCTGGCTGAAATACTTACTATAATTCTGTGGGTTATTATGAGGGTCTGGAACTGGTCTCCCTACCTTTACGCTTCCCTTACCCCCCAGCCTATGCTACCTTACCGTTATTGTGGTCTTTATAAAGCATGCGGATAATCACATCTCTTTCTACAGCTCTTCTTGGCCGCCAACACAGAGTTCATGACACAAATGCAAAGGCGGCCACCAGGCGACTCTCATTCCTGTCCTTTCTCAACGTGGCTTATGCTCTCTCCATGCTGGCTGCTGACATCACACTGTCTTACCTTTACTAACTGGAGTTGCTTGCATTTATGTATAGCACTTTTTGATGTTTACAGCTCCATAGAAGGGTCAATATAAAATGTGATTAGGCTTGCTGGAATCTCTACATTCAAGTTTCCTTATCTGCAAAAATGGGGATACTAATACTTGCCCATAGGGGAGTTAGGAAGTGAACGATTCAATGGTGCACTTTAAAGGCTTGGCACATGGTAAGCGTCTGGTCAATGATAACAGCTATTAATACGGACCAGTATTACCCTGGGCCAGGACGGCTCTGGGTGCTTTATGTTTGCTAGTTTCCTTGATCTTTAGTCCTTTGAAGTAAAGCATTATCCCCATTTTATAGATGGAGAAACAAGCACGGAGAGTTTGAGTTTGTATTATTCTGCTTGGGCTGCCATAACAAAGTACCACTAACTGCATGGCATAGACAACACAAATTTACTTTCTCCAGGCTCTGCAGGCTGGAAGTCCAGAGTCACAGTGCTGGCAATTTGCTTTCTCCTGAGGTCTCTCTCCTTAGCTTGCAGAGGACCACCTCCTTGTTGTGTGTTTACATGGTTCTCTCTCTGTGCATGTCTGTATATAAATTAATTCTTATAAGGACACCAGCCATACTTGATTTGGGTCTCCCCTAATTATCTCATTTATTTTTTCTTTTTAAATCCTCACCAAAGGATATGTGTTTCATTGATTCTAGAATAGGAGAAAGGGAGTGGGAGAGAAAGAAAGAGAGAAACATGGATTGGTTGCCTTCCACCTGGGGATGGAACCCAAAACCTGGGTATGTGCCTTGACAGGGAATCAAACCCACAATTCTTTGGTGCAAGGAATGGTGCTCTAACCAACTGAGCCACAGCAGCCAGGGCATAATCTTATTTATTTAAAGACTTTATCTCCAAATAATCACTACAGATTAGGACTTCAACATATGAATTATGGGGGAACATAATTCAGCCTATAATAAGTAAGCAAGCAAGCTTGCCCAATGTCACACAGATGGTGTCAGAGCAGGGATGTTTTTTTAATCCTGGCAGGGCAGCCCCAGACATTGTACTCGTAACAGCTATGCAACCTTATCTCTTCTTCGTGGCTGGAGACCATTTAAATTAATCCATTTGCTTTAGCTATATGCACCAGAGTTTCTCATAAATGTCATACAAATTATTTGGGGGGACACAACAATCTAAGTACTAATTTCTAGAATGTTAGTATAAAGCCAATAGGATGTCCACAAAACAACAATAACAATAAATTCTCAATAGATAAAAGCTCTTTTTATCCCTAAATTGATCTGGCATAGTTGGTTGGGTGTTATTGATACTAAAATAATTCAGACCGAAGTTGAATCTATCATTCTGTAAATAAGCGAATTGTTTCAAAGACACTTGGAAGTTTTGCTTTTTAAAAACTGCCGTTTCACATTGCTTCCCTTTTGCCGGATCTATGAAACAGAGGCACTGGGGCTGCCCATTGGGTAAACTTGACTTGCTCCACACTCACAGTATTTATCCAGGTCCTCTTGTGTTGGAGTTCAGCCAAACTGTCAACAATCAGAGGAGTTCCAGGACAACTTTACAGGTGTATCGGGAACTGGAGTGTGTGCCCTTACAAACAGGTCTGTCTCCCAGTACTTGCTCTCAGCTCCACAAACACGTGGACATTTTACTCCTTACAGAGAGAGGGAGAACAGGTTACAGGTTTTTTGACCAACGCCTTCTCCACTAGCCCGCAAGTCCTCAGGGGCAGGGCTGTGATGTATTAACCTTGCAAACCCAGATCCTGGCATAGTGCCAGGCGAGAGAAGGCACTTGACTAGGCCAACTGCTCACTCCTGCTGGTGGGATTAAAGGTCCTGGTTTTACCTCCTGCTTCAACCAGGGTTCAGGCTAGGGCTGGGTTGGCAGAGTAATTAAAAGGAATAGCATCTTCCCAGACAAGAACCTGGGTGGTAGAGATGAAATGAGGTGGAGTTGACAGTATTTGAGAAATCAAATACATAGTTGGAAAAGCAGATAGCTTCCCCAAATCATTAAGTTGGAAGACTATGCTAATCTACATGTGTAGATCCTGATATGTTGTAAAAACAGAAAAAAGACATGCCCTACAGTTATCACGCTCTAATGTTATGTGCTCCTTCTTCTCCACAAGCCAGATGGAGATACAGTTCCAGTTCTCTTCTCTTTGGTGGCTGTTTCTCCTACTCTTTTCCCATTAAGACTCGATCTGTGATTCTGTAAAATCCTTTCTTCCCTATCTCCTTATTCCCTAAGCACACAAAATATTCATATATGGAAAGACTCTGACATATATGATAATTACAAATGTTGCAAGACTAAACAGTAACAAGGTACAACCATGGAAAAATTCTCAACTTTCTACCATGACTAAATCAAGAATATCTTAAAGCACTAAAAAAAAAAAAAAAAAAAAAAAAAAAAAAAAAAAAAAAGATCAAATTTTATAAGAAAACTGTCGTCAGTTGAAGAGAGTGCGCCTCATGAGGTAACTCTTCCTGGTCCCAGTCACTTGCAGTCACGGAGCCTTAAAACGATCTATTCTCGCTGAAACTGGTTTGGCTCAGTGGATAGGCCTGTAGACTGAAAGTTCCCGGGTTCAATTCCGGTCAAGGGCATGTAACTTGGTTGCAAGCACATCCCCAGTAGGGGGTGTGCAAGAGGCAGCTGATCGATGATTCTCTCTCATCAATGTTTCTAACTCTCTATTCCTCTCTCTTCCTCTCTGTAAAAAATCAATAAAATATATTAAAACAAACAAACAAAAAAAACCCCAATCTCCTCTCCTATCAGCCTGCACTGGGTGACTGTCCATCCGCCTGAGGGAGTGCTACCATTATTTGATGGCACTATGTGCCCAGTGCTGGGCTAAGTGCTTACCTCTTTTTTTTTTTTTTTTTTTTTTTTGACTGTCCTAAATTGTTTAGTAGGTAAGAACTTTACAAACATTACTTATATTAGCAGTAACGGTGGAGCTGCATTACGTTCGGGGCCTGCCCAAATGTGTGCAGTGGGTCTCAGCTCTCTGCAAGGAAGATTCACCTTGGGAGATGAAAAAGTATCTCTATCCATATCTGTAGAGAGAAGCTTGGGCTCCACTCTGACCAATTCAATGAGAATGAAGGTCAGATCAGGGTGTAGAGAAGTCTTCGGTATTTATTAAAAACTCCATGATGTTTCTAAAGAGGACACACAGGAGAGAACTTCATGTGGGTGGTATCAATCAATGACCACAGATTGAATGAAAAACTAAAACATGTCAGCCAGCCAACAGGAGGGATTATTACACACCTGAAGCACCTGACTTCTAATGAAGCCATACAAAACCTAACATACAATAGGTGCTAGTCACTTGATCTCCCTCTAGTGCTTTCCCTTAGGCCCACCCTGTTCACCCATTTATTTGAGAACTAGAGGCTCAGTGCACAAAATTCACTGAGACCAGCAGTCGGACATTCCTCTCACAATCCTGGACCACTGGCTTCTAATGGCTCACCTGCCTGCCTGCCTGCCTGTCTGGTCACTTCTAACTGCCCCACTGCTGCCCTGGTCATTCCCACCTGCCTCCCTCTGCCTGCCTGGTCACCCCAACTGTGCCACCCCATGGCCCCCGACGCTGGCCTGGTCAAGCCTAACTGTCCCACTGCTGGCCTGGTTGTCTCTTACTGCCTCCCCAGCCAGCCTGGTTGCCCCTCACAGGCCTCTTGCTGGCCTGGTCGCCCCACACAGCCTGTTATTCAGTTGTTTGGTCGTCCCTCACTAAACCCCCTGTGGGCCTGGTCATAGGTAGCCATCTTGTGAGGGTGTGAGGGTTAATTTGCATATTACCTCAGTAAGGGCTGATTACATAACAGAAATTAGATTAAGCTGTGATGAAATAATGGTAAGTGAAACAATCATGGCTCCTGCACTCATGGAGTTTACAGGTTAATTGGTGAAAGCACTTCTCATATTAATTTGTATTATTTATATACTTACTAGAGGCCTGGTGCATGAAAATTCATGCACTCAGGGGGTGGGGAAGTCCCTCAGCCTGGCCTGCACTCTCTCGCAGTCTGGGAGCTCTCGGGGGATATCTGACCGATGGTGCAAGGCGTGGGTCTAAGCCTCCCTCTCTGGGAGGTGACTGCCTCCCATTGCCCGGCAGCTGCTGCTGGTAGCCAATCCCTCCTTCTGCCCACTGCACCTGCTTTGGCTGGCCTGACGACTGTTGCCCACTTTTCTGCCATTCTGTTTATTTGCCTATTAGGCTTTTATTATATAGAGTTAATTCTCCCTCAGGCCATAAGCTCTCAAAGACACTTTATATCACAACCCACATACACACAAACATATGCCAAAAGTTAAAGTTTCCCAGTACCAACTTAATCTTCATTTTGTGTGATATATTCTGATATCTTTCAATCTAGTTCATTTCTTTTTTTCAAAAAACTAGTAATGATCCATCAAATTGACATTATAACCCACTAATAAGTCACAATCTAAGAATGAAAAATACTTGCCTTGAGGGCAAGGGTTACTTCTTGTAAGTATTCCTGGTATCTAGCAAATAATCAGTGGGCAGTAACATGTTTTATTTTATAAGTAATTTGTAAAAATATTTAAATTAAGACTTAGGTACAGGTTCAGTGCCTTGTTGGTGGATAATCAGTGTTCTAAGAATGTATTTATATAGACAGATTATAGACACATACCTGCAGATAATTTTTTTAGATACTATATCGATCCCACACTAGGCACACCATATACACTGTTTATATAATTTAACATTTCAGTCACAATCATGGGCTCACATTTTAAGTTCATATAATTAAAAACATGCTCATCTTGGAAAAAGAAGTTATGAGGAGAAATTGACTCCTTCAGATACTGAAGCTTATTAGAAACTCTAATAGCTAAAAAGCTTGGTATTAGAGGCTGTGGCAAACAGAATAATGGCCTCCAAAAATGTACACACCCTCGCCCACAGGGTGATTATGTGACTGTGTTAGCTTGCCTGGCAAAACAGACTTTGTAGATGTGATTAAATTAAGGATCTTGAAATGGGGAGACTATGACGAATTCTGTGGATGGGTCCATTGTAATCACAAGGGTATTATAAGAGGAAGGCAAGAGGGTATGGGAGACAGAGAAGGTGATAAAACAGAAATTTGAACTTTCTAGGCTACTGGATTTGAAGACAGAGGAGGGACCATGAACCAAGTATTGCAGGTGGCCTCTAGCAGCTGGAGAGACTTACTATCTTACTTCCAGAACTGTAATAGGATAAATTTGTGCTGCTTTAAGCCACTGCAGTTGTGGTAATGTGCAGCATTAGGAAACAAATGCAGATATACAGTAGAGAGTTCTACAGATTAAACTAAGAAATTCCTAAATCAAAATTTAGAATTTAATATCTGATAAAGGCAATTTAGCAAGCCCGTGTGTGTGTGTGTGTGTGTGTGTGTGTGTGTGTATGTGTGTGTGTGTGTGATGAATTATTTGATAATGGACAACTGGATAGTTAATAATAAAAGTAATAAAGCTGGATCTCTATCTCCTTACACCAGAATTATTTTCAGATGGGTCAAGATTAAGTATTTAAAAGATCATCTAAAAATACTAGAAGAAAATACAGTTTTGTTTTTATTGAGAAAGATATAAAACCCAGAAATGATAAGGAAGAAGTGGATGATAGTAACTTAAACAATGGTAGTTGATTTGGCAAAATTAAACTTGCCCACATACTTCAACCCAGCAACTGCCTGTACAGGAATTTATCTTAGATACATTCTTAGTTATATGTACAAAGCTTTATGATGAAATGTTCTTTACAGGCATTGCATGTAATAGCAAAGAACTGGAAACTGCCTACATGCTCATTTATTATAGAAGATTAAATATATTATGCCTTAGAAAGTATGACATATATGTGCTCTGTAAAGGAGATTTGTAAGTGAAATATAGTATAGTGGTATAATCCCTTGTATATAGTGAAAAAGTACATTTACATAGAAAAAACAGTCTGGAAATATATATAAGAAGTTGCTAATAGTACTTACCTTTTGGGGAGTGAAACTGAGAATAAGAAGTTTTTTATTTTAAAATTTTTGCATTTTTCTATATAGTTCTTGATTCCAGGGATTTCTAACTTGGGTCTTCTGCTGCTATAGGAAGGAAGGAAGGAAAGAAGGAAGGGAGGGAGGAAGGAAAGAATTGCTAGCAAATGAAGAGGGCAAGAAGAGAGAGGGGCTATGTTGACAGAGTAAGCAAATCTGGGCCAACTGCACCAGAAGATATATGCTAGCTAATAATTTATATATATATATATATATATATATATATATATATATATATATATATATATATATAATAAATATAAATACCCGTTCTAACATGAATCTTTGTGCATTAGGCTTCTAAGATTCATGCTAGAATGGGCTTTCCTTTCCCTGGCTGCAAGCACCACCTTTCCGCTCAGGCCCAGCCCCTTTCTGCTCCAGCCCCACCTTTCCATGCTGCCCAGAGGCCCTGAGAGACCTGGGTTGGGGCAGAAGCCTGTGTGTCTCTGCCATGGTGATGATGCAAGTATCCTGCTCCCATCACTCATTGCCTGTGTATGCAAATTAACCACCATCTTTGTTGGGATAATTTGCATATCACTCCTGATTGGCTGGTGGTGTGGCACATATGTGTGTGTGTGTGTGTGTGTGTGTGTGTGTGTGTGTGTAAATACATATATAAGTATATATAAATTGGCTCTATGATTAGAGGAAGCCCAAGCCACAGAGTTCTAAACTGATTGGGAAAATGTAAGACACCTATTTAAACGTATAAACTGTTTAAATTTGTTTGTTTTCCTTTGCTTTAAGTCATGCCTGAAGATTCCAGACAGGTAAAAAGGTAAATTTCCTCCTTAATTGTGCAACTAAGGCAGATGGATATGTAATTAAAGTCATGTGTTAGAGTGGTGTTCGATAGGCTGTGTACCTTTTACAGTATGTACCACGTCACCAGTTTAGGCAAAAAATTCAAGTCACTAAGTCATGTGTTTTTTAATGTTAAAATTCGCAACACTCTAAACTCTAGCAAGATGAGTCCAGCTTTCTCTTGGGGGACTTCTCCCCAGTAACCCAAGGGTTACTCAATTCTTTCAAAGGGTCCTCCCAAGTTGCTGACAGGGGTGGGGGCCAGGGGAACAGGGTTGGTCAGTCAGCCACTGTGCCTGGTCACGGCTCTGTCTCTGCTGCCAGAATTCACTGCCAAGGCCCAGGAAGCCTGCATAGGCTTCAGAGGCTAAAACAAATGTCTATTCCCTCTTGGCTGTAGCTACCCAGGGTTAGGAGAGGTCCTAATGTCAACCACACAGTGTAGAAACACCAGTCTTTCCCTGCCAGCATCCTGCAAGTGTGGACACAACCTTGCTCTTATTCTTCCAAACCACAGCCAAAGGCAGGCTGCAGACAAGGGGGAAAAATTCAGTCAATAGCAGTGTTTGCCAATATCTAGTAGTGTTTGAGGCCACTTAAAAAAAAAAAGTCTTGCTCACTCTTGAATGTGAAATTAAATTATTTAAATTATGTTTCTTAATTAAGTATAAACATAAGACTATGTATAAAGTCCTTATTTTCACAGCAATTCTAACTCTATAAAACAAAAAATATTGCAAATAAAAAATTCAATGAATATTATTATGTAATGTAGTTGATGATGTTTTGCTGAAATTAATTCATCCTTTGAAATGAAAACATGGAACTCACTGCTATTGTACAGGCTTTTAAAAGAATGCTTATAGTCAATTTAATTATCCCAATATTCTTCTCTATTTGAATTTCTGTAAAACTTTTGTACCATGTGCCATGAGGACACTTGACCTTCACTTAGCCAGAACACTCTCATCTCCATAAGAATATTCTTTTCTCATTAGCTCAAGGAAATTCAAGTTATAGTTTTGGTGCCAAATACAAAATCAAGTGGCAATATTTGACTAATTATAAGGTGGTCATCAAAATGATCCAGAATAGGCATACATTAATTTTTAAAATTATAATTTAAAACAAGAGCAAAATTTACATAGATGATTTGCAATATATATGATCCATTCATCAGTGTATAAAATGTCCAGAGTAGGCAAGTCCATGGAGACAAAAGGTAAATTAGTGGTTGACAGGAGCTAGGGGGCAGTGGGGATGGAGAATGACGGCTCATAGGTATAGATCTCATTTTCCTGATGAAAATGTTCTGGAAATAGATAGTGATGATGGCTGAACAACTTTGTAAATATACTATAAAGCATTGAGTTGTACACTTGAAATGGGTGAATTTTTATATGTGAATTATATAGCAAGTTTTAAAAGTTGATCACAGTTTTCCTAAAGAATAGGAAACGGATATGAGAATCACATTTATTTATCCAAAGGGTGCACCCTGTGGAGTGTCCCAAAACAAAGGTTGTTGAGTCTACAGCTCTATTTATATTACAATTCAGTTTTTCATTTGTATAAAAGATCATAGTGATTTATGGATGGGGGAGGGACGACTGGGCTGGAGAGGGAAGGTCTGGAGACAGGCAGATTAGTTGGGGGTCTAGCTACAAGGCTCTACAAGGCATCAACAAGGACATAACTAGACCAGACCAGGATCACCCAGAGACATAGATTGAAGCTCAGGAAGAGTCTGCTCTATCCCAGGTACCCTCCTGAAATTCCACCAATTAGAGATTTCAGCATTTCATTATTTCAGCAAGCATTTTTGGCAGCTGGCAGTGTCATCAGCAATATAGGGGATAGAAAGATAACTAAGAAAGGTCCTTGCCCTCATGTATCTACTACTAGTATGTAGTAATGGAGATAACTCACACGGAGATAAGTGTCATTTAGTAATATGTGCATCATAAGAAAAAGGGAGGTATAAACCCACGACTATCAATGTGAAAGGAGGAAGAAATTACTTTTTACTTCTGCTGGAAGTCCCAGGTAACCTGATGATTTAATGTTGATAGGTGGAGGAGATGAAGTGAAAAGCATTTAAGCATTTTAGTGAAGGGAATAGTATGAACAAAGGAATAGTATGAACAAAGGAGAGCTAGAGCGAGAAAAGCATATTTAAGGAAGAATGAATGAGCACAGGCTGGAATAAGCTCTGGGAAGGAAAGTGAATAGAAAAGATAAAGCAGGAAAAATATGCAGACAAGTTGTCTTTTTAAAATGGAAAAACTGAAGGGAGGTTCGAGGGAGAAGAGGGTCAATAGTAATCGCTGACTTTCACAGATTTGTATGAATTTGCAAGATTTTATCTTGTGAAAACCATAGCTGATTAGTAAACAGGCATTGTGTTGACTTTGAGGGAGCATGTTGAAAGAATGCTTATAGGAAGGTTAGCTCTGGTGAGGAGCTGAAGCTAAGAGCAAGGAGAGCAAACGGCGCCAGGCTAGCGACAAGTGCACTGACAAAAAAAAAAAAAAAAAAAAAAAAAAAAAAAAAAAAAAAAAAGGCAAAGGAAGTGTGAAGGCTCCCAAATCTCTCCTCCCAGCATTTCAGCTGACACCACTCAGTCCGTAGGTATCTGCATCTGTCTTATCACCAATGTTTGTATTTCCAATATAATATTCGAATGCACCTGGGGGAAAAAGCCCTGGAGAGATAACACCAAATTCGTCTGTGTTATGAGAGTTAATTCATTCTTTAAAAGCACACGATTCTGGCACACAGAAGGCACCCAAACGTGTTTCACAGATGAACGTTTATTCTTTGTTTTAGAGACCATATTTAGGATAGGAAATGATTCTAAACTGCATCCTAAACCTATATCCTCTGTTAGCACTTAAGTTGGGAGGCCCTGGGCCAAAAGGTCTGATTCTCCCCTTATTTAAAACTTGGTTTCTGGCCCCCCGCGTCCGGTGCGGGGGTCAGTAGGCACAGCAGGGGGGGGAGGTGTCGATCTTCTAATAACCAATCGCTGCGGGGCCAAGGGGCGGAGCCACGGTACCCCGCCCCCTCCTCTCATTCCCGGTCGGGACTCCACAGGTCCGGCCTCCTTCGCACCTGCGTGTCCCCCGGCGCTCCGGCTGGTGCCGCCTCTCCCTCCCGCGCTAGCGGGAAGGGGGTTTGGCCTCACCTCTCGCGAGATCGCGCGGTGCCGCTGCCGCCGCGGCTCCGGGCCGCTGACTGGCGGCGTCTGCGCAGCCGCCATGTTCGGTTGCTATGCTGTGGCCTGGGAGACGCAGTGTGCTTGAGGGAGGAGGCGGAGACCCGGGAGGGGGAGGAGGAAAGAGGGAGGAGGCGCGGGAGGCGGGGGAGCGAGCGCCTCTCGCATTCGCGCACACCAGCGCGGTCCCAGAGTCCCCGCTGGATCCCGCCGCGCCGCGCGCTTTCCCGCTCCTCACGGCCCCCCCATTGTTCTCCCCGGACTCCTGGGTCCCCGGGGCGGACCTCGAGCCTGAGCCGAGCGGGGAGGAACTTGGCTGTGGCGGCGGGGCGGAGGTTGGGGCCCGGCTCCCCTCCCCCTCGGCACTGTTGGGGGTGTGGATTAGGTCATCCCCGCCGGGAGGTGGGCGCGCTCCGGTCCTCGGTGCCAGCCCGCGCGGCAGCCCCGCAGCATGAGGCGCAGCCGGCCGCTCCCCGCCCCGGCGCGGCCGCTGCGGCGGCGGGTGCTCGGGGGGCGCTGAGGGGACCCCCGCGCGCCGCCCGGGCCGCGGGCTTTTCTTCTCCGGCCGAGAGGACGCGGCAGTGACACGGAGGTAAGAGGCTCCCGGGTCTCCGCCGGCCGCGGCCCCGCGCGGCTGTTACCTGGGGCGAGTGTGGCTTTTGGGGAACGAGCCAGGTAGGGCCACCCCGAGGTGCAAGGCTGAGTTAAAGGGGAGGAGAAAAGGATGCTCCCCGGCCCCCCCTTTCCCGGGACCTCTGCTCCGGCGCTCCGGGGGTAGGAGTTGGAGTGTGTTCTAGGTGAGCGGAGCAGGGCGGGATGGACGTGGGGATGGAGTGTTCCACCGGACCGAATTCTAAGGTGTTAGAATCTGAGTTTTCCAGAGCTGATAGGATTCCTTTTTTAAAAAAATTTTATTTTATTATTGGATCATATGAGCGCTGCTTGCATGCTGCATAGACGGACTCCCAGGGTTGAAGTTTGTCCGTTTCAGGATTCTACCGGCATATACTTGTATTTAAGAATCTGTGGTTGGGGCAAAAAAAAAGTTGAGGTGTAGCTAAAGATACGTACGGATGCATTTCCCAGCGGCTCCTTAAACTGGACCGGCTTGCAGTTGGACAGACCTATGCTTGCATGTTGCTGAGAAACTTAGGAATGGGAGACTTTTGGGGGTTGCATTATTTAGGGACACCACTATTGTACCAGGAGGATCCGTAGGCTTTTCAAGCCCTTCCTTGTTCTAGGAGATACACACTGTGCCAACTGCTTTTCGAATCAATAAATTTGAATACTAATAGATTTATGTGACCAGATTTTAGACCCAGTTAAAACAATACTGTTTAAAACATATGGGGGTGGGGGGGAGAGGCAGAAAACCAATGTATTCTCGTAAAAGACGATTTAAGTAGAAAAAAAGAGTGGCCTCTTTTTTTTTTTTTTAATCCTGATTTTGGATTCTTAAGGAGCCTGAGAAAAAATTAATTATTCTTTTTTTTTTTTAAGCGGGGAAGAGACAACCTTAAAATAAATAATTATTAAGAGCCCAAAGTGTGCTTAATGGAAGAGAGAAAGGTATATCAGTTACATATGAATTTGATGAATATAAATTCAACCTATAAATAATAAATAAATAAAAGACTTTGTGAGCAAATGTTTGTGTATTTGTACAGAATGTCTTTACTAACTCATAATAAAAGAGTGCAATCATTTTGTGGACCCCACCATATTTGGTCAGAATAAATTTGTGCTCCAATTACCACAAAAACTTTTTATTATTTTTTTAATGGCACACATATCTTAGTTACCGTTTTTTGCACTGAAACATATGCATGGTTCCATAATATGATCTTGGTGGTTTATAAGAAGAGAAACTTGTGTGTTTTTTTGTCTTTTTTTTTGTACATGGGAATATTTGTTGCTTAGCTCATCTATTTTAAACATTTGGCAAAAGATTTTGAAAACACAAAGAGCCACAATTTTGTAGTTTTTAATATTAAGTGAGCAGTTTAAAGTTTATTAAGGTAGAAAAGTCACAGGTTCCTCAAAAGCAGTAATGAATGAGAATATGCCTTTCTTATTGCATATTTTCTAACCTGCTTAGCTTGTGGGTATTGAATTGTTTCAGACTTTTTCTTGTGTTCTAATTGAATATCTTCAAATGTTCCTAGCAACTTTGTTACTTTAAATTTGTGACATCCAATTTCTAATTTAGGCTAGGCATAAAACCAGCATTGATTGAACACCACTTGCTAAAAATACTTTCTGGGTCAGATGTATTCAGAATGCAGCCTCAGGAAAATTCATTTGAACTATTCTACTGTGACCAATGTACATTTCATTATTATTGAAGGACTTTAAAAAAAATCGATACACTCCCACACAATTAGGTTGTATAAGTTAAGGCATAGAAGCCTTTTTTTCTTAATGTATAAAATACTTTATGTGGGATAGTAATAAAAACCTAAATAATTTTCTTAAATACATGTGAACCCCCATGGATTATTAAACTCTGATTTGTATATTAAACATCTTTTAGTTTTGTCTACTAAACATAATTTAGTTGTAAAGGACAGTACAATGTGAGTGTTATCTACTTCCTATTTATGACTTATTCTAAATTCTACAAGGGGGCTGAGTGGTTTTTTAGTAATCTTTAAGAAGCAAAATAAGAGACTACCAGATAATTTCAAGGAGACGCTGTTATTGACTGTTGTTGAGAGGACTTTTGTTATTCCCCTCTGAAAGTTAATATGGTCAGTTTTAAATAACAAGAAAGTTTTTAAAAATATGTAGAAGTTTTGTTTAGTGGAAGTTTAAAGACTTATGTTTAAAAGTTCTGCTTTAATTCTTTATGTTATTAGGAATGTAATATTGGTAATCTCATTAGAAACGGCAAATTATGTGACTATATAGCTAAAATGAATTGTTCATTATAAATAAAATATAGAATTGGCAGAAATTCACTGGTTATAAACTGAGTTGAATTTTGTTGTTTTTCTGGGTTAATAATAACATGCATGTTGTGAACTTTTTTATATGCTGTAGTCTAGTTTTGTTAAATTTGTCAGTTCACCAGATTAAGCTGTGAACTGGTTTAGCATTCTGGAGATCCTTTTTTCCCCCTGCAAAGTAGGGGGAAAGTGTTGTTTCTTCATTTAATATCCAGTTATTAGTACAGATGGTGGAATCGACTTTATTGGTGTAGAATTACATTATTTATGAACAGTATAATATATTTTACTTTGATCAGTCAGTATAGTCATATTTAAAATAGGATGGAAAACAGAGGGTCAGTTTATTCCATTCTCTTGCACTTTATTAGAGGCATTTCCCTCTACATTCATTCTTCATTCCATTATTCCTAAATAGAAACACTGGAAGAGAGGTGCAAGTATTTGAAGAAATTGGCAGGAGCAGAAGAAAATTAGGTACTGTGGATTATTTTGAGGGGAAGGAAGATAGTAACTTGGGTGAGTTATTGTGTTTGTATCTTTTAACAAGGAGGTAATATTGAGGAGCAGGGGGAAAAAGGACCCAGAAGGGAAGTGTTTATTGTCTTTTATGTGCCAGACAGTGTAAAGGGTCTTTTCATGTTATCCCACGTAATCTTCAAGTTCACTTTGTGAGGTAGGTATTAATAATCTCCTGCTTTTCCCTTTTCCTCCCCAAATGAGGGCAAGGAGAAATTAATTTGTCTAGGATCACACTGCTAGTAAGTAGAATTCAAATTAGGTCTGTCTGACTCTGAAGCTTATTCTTTAGATCTTGGTGTCCAGGTAAACCTTCTACAGTGATGGAAGTGCAGTAAGTCTAAGTCCTCACTTAAAGTCATGGATTGCTTCTGTGACTTTAAGGAAAATGACGTATAATGAAACCAATTTTACCATGGCGAGCGGATAGAAAAAAAGTGTTAAGTTCTTAAGGCATCTCATCAACATAACAGCATTAAACTAAATGATATTATTCTTTTTTCTGCACTGTCAGATGTGGTAACCATGTGCAGCATGGAGTGCTCAAAAATGTAACTATCGTGTCTGAGGAACTGAATTCAAAATTGTATTTAATTTTGGCCCTGGCAGGGCAGCTCAGTTGGTTAGAGTGATGTCTGATACACCAAGGTTTGCGATCCTGATCAGGGCACATACAAGAGTCAACCAGTGAATGCATAAATGAGTGGAACAAAAAATCAGTGTCTCTCCTCCCCCCTTAGTCTCTCTCTAAAAATCAATTATAAATTTTAAAAAATTGTATTTAATTTTAATCAGTTTAAATTTAAATAACCAGATATTGCTAGTAGCTATAATATTGGACAGCACAGCTTTATATCTTACTGCCTAGAAAATCTGAGTTTTAATATTGAAAATTCTACTAGCTGTACATGACATTAGGCAAGTTATTTAGTTGTTGAGCATCAATTTAATTCATTTTGAAAATGAAGAGGTGGTCACTAAAAGGTTACCTCCAGCATCCTTCTTGCTCCAAACTTGCAGGATTCTTATTAAAATGTGCAGTGGCATTTAATATTCACAATTATATCTGAAAGGCCTTCCCTAATATACTCACCCATTATATGAAGACTAGAGGCCCGATACATGAAATTCGTGCAAGAGTAAGCCTTCCCCCAACTGCTTGCACCAGCTTCCCTCGGGCACCCTGGACTTAGGCTTCCCTCCGGGCACTGGCAGGCACCTGGGACCAGGGCTTCCCTCGCAGCCCTGGCTTCCGGAGGGTTGACTGCACGGACATCCGGCATAATTAGCATATTGCCCTTTTATTATAGATTTTTATTGTTTGGTCAGTTTCTCTTTTTGATCAGAGTATGTGTAAAGCACACATAAAAGATAATGGATTATTCCTGTCCACCCCCAGTTGTTTGGTGAAACACTGTGTAACCAAAGGCAGTACCTTGGAACAAAGTTTGGATATTTAAAGACCATATTTCACCATGCCACCTTCCCATTTAAGAATATGGTTCTCTGTTGCCTATTAAATTAATCCCAAACTTATCTGCTTGGCCTTGAAGACTTTCCACCAACTTCCTCTCACCCCGTTTCTCATTCTTGCTTAAAAAGAAAACTTGCTTTTTTCTTTGCCCTTGATTTCTCGATTTAAACATTCCTGTCTCAAATCCATGTCTTCTCTTCAAGTATTCCTTAAAATTCACCTTTTTTCCCCCTGAAAAAATGCTGCTTAATCTAGTCATAATGACTAGATTTTGAATCCTGGTAATAAGCATCTTGGAGTTAATATGTGATTATTTACAATACATATTTCAATTGAGTACATCCTCCTTAAGTTTTTATTTTACCTACTCTGACTTTAATGAAAATGTAAAAAAAAATTAAATGGGATTGTTTCTTTTGTATTGCTTTGTAAGTTTAGTCTATCAATTATGCTTTAAAGATTTGCTAATTAAAAAAAAAAGATAATTACTGTAACAACATTCATCCTTAATCACCACTCTAATAGATGTTTTTGTTTCCTTTCAGGCAGTTGTTCATATTTTTTAAAATAAAGTTGTGTGGTAGAAATATAATTTGAGTTTGATGTACTGTAAATATTGTATAGCAGGAGCATTGTAATGTAGGGAAAAGCTGACACACTTTGGAGTTAGATAGGTCTGGGTTGGAATGTGGTCTCAGAAACCTTGGGCAAATTATATAACCTCTGAGCAGACTTCCTTAACTATGAAATTAGGATAATAGTTGGCCTTGAGTTGTTGTGAGGATTAGGGTACTATGTATCAATATAAAACATCTGGCACTATTTTTTAAATAAAAGAGATGATCAATAAATGGTAGTTGATACCATTTTTCTTTCCCCATTGTTATAACTTAAACAGTTGCTTATACATTTCACATGATTTATTGGTCAGATGATTTAGTCATTTACCTTTTGTTAAACATTTTGGTTATTTCTAAAGCTTCCAATGTTATATCTGCATTGAATATGTTTGTGTTTGTTTGTTTCCTCAGTCTAAAACCCTAGGACTGGGAAAAGGGTCCAATGGTAAGAATATTTTTATGCCAAATCTTTCTTTTAAAAAACAATGGTGTTCTTGCTTTGGAAAAAATCCTAATGCTAATTTGGTTGTCAAATTGAACTTCATTGTTTTAATTTGTAATGTATTTTTAAAAATTGGTTGCCCTTTCCTGTTGGCTCAGTTGTTTGGAGTATCGTCCCGTCTTGTCACAGAAAAGTCACGAGTTTGATTTCTGGTCAGGGCACATATCCAAGTTCCAGGTTGGATTCCCCAGTCTAGGTACATGAGAGAGGCAACCAATGGATGTTTTACTCTCAAATTGATGTTTTTTGTTTTTTTCTCTCTCTCTCCCTTTTCCTTCCTCTCTCTGTAAAATCAGTAAAAAAGCATGTCCTGCCGAAACCGGTTTGGCTCAGTGATAGAGCATTGGCCTGCAGACTGAAAGGTCCCGGGTTCGATTCCGGTCAAGGGCATGTACCTTGATTGCGGGCACATTCCCAGTAGGGGGTGTGCAAGAGGCAGCTGATTGATGATTCTCTCTCATCGATATTTCTAACTCTATCCCTCTCTCTTCCCCTCTGTAAAAAAATCAATAAAAAATATTAAAAATATATATATATTTTTTTTTTAAAAAAAGGATGTCTTTGGGTGAGGATTAAAAAAGAAAAAAGAAAAAAAATATTTGGCTTATTGGTGAATTATGTAATGAACATTTATATAACTAAAGGTCTGGCACACAAAATTCGTGGGGAGTGGGGGGCGCGAGGGTGTCCCTCAGCCCAGCCTGCACCCTCTCCAACCTGGGACATCCCTCTCACAATCCAGGACTGCTGGCTCCCAACTGCTCATCTGCCTGACTTCCTGATTGCCCCTAACCGCTGCTGCTTGACAGCCTGATCACCCCATAACCACTCCCCTGATAGCCTGATTGATGCCTACTGCTCCCCTGACAGCCTGTTTGCCCCTAACTGCCCTCCCCTGCAGGCCTGGGTCCCCCACAACTGTCCTTCCCTGCAGGCCCAGTCCCCTCAAACTACTTTCCTCTGCTGGCCTGGTCACCACTAACTGCCCTCCCTTGCAGGCCGGGTCCCTCCCAACTGTTCTCCCTGCTGGCCTGATCAGCCACAACTGTCCTCTCTTATAGACCTGGTCCCCTCCCAGCTGCCTTCCCCTGCTGGCCATCTTGAGGTGGCCATCTTGTGTCCACATGGAAGCAGTCATTTTTGATCACCTGGGGGCAACCATATTGTGTGTTGGAGTGATGGTCCATTTGTATATTATTTTGTTAGGATAGAGGCCTGGTGCATGGGTGGGGGCTGGCTGGTTTGCCCTGAAAGGTGTCCTAGATCAGGGTGGGGGTTCCTTTGGAATGTGGGGTGGCCTTGGTGAGGGGCCTGTGGTGGTTTGCAGGCTGGCCACACCCAAGCGGAGGCCCTGGTATCTGGGATTTATCTATCTTCTATAATTGAAACTTTGTAGCCTTGAGTGGAGCCAAGCCTCCTGCTCGCTCTGTGGCTGCAGCCATTTTTGTTGGGATTTATTTATCTTCTATAATTGGGACTTTGTGTCTTGAGCAGAGGCCAAGGCAGGCCATGGCTGCAGAAGCTTGGCTTACTCCATTGCCAGGGGCAACTAAAGCCTCCTGCTCTCTCCAGTTCCCTGGCTGCTGCCATTTTTGTTGGGATTTATTTATCTTCTATCATTGAAACTTTGTATCCTTGAGTGGAGGCTTGGGCCAGTCAGGGGGAAAGCTTGGCTTCCTCCATTACCAGGCCAACCCAAGCCTCTTGCTTTCTCTGTGGCTGCAGCTAGCGTGGTTGGGTTAATTTGCATACTCTCTCTGGATTGGCTGGTGGGCATGGCTTGTAGGTGTAGAGGAGGTACAGTCAATTTGCATATCATATTTATTAGATAGGACTAGAGGCCTGATGCACGAAATTCATGCACTCAGCCTGGATTGCAAGAGGGGTCAAGCCAGGCCAAGGAACCCCCACTGGTGCATGACCAGGGCTGGGGAGGGAAGCAGGAGATTGGCCATCCAGGGAGAGCTCCAATTTTGTTCAGTCCCAGTCAGCCAGACCCCAGCAACAAAATAACCTAGTCAGAGTGTCTGATCCCTGATGGTCAGTGCATTATCATAGTGAGTGGTTGAACAGCCTTAGCATATCATTAGCATATTGGGCTTTTATTATATAGGATGTTCATTAAACATCTGAAGGTCTGTTATAGGGATCAGTGATAAACATGATTTTTGCCTTTGAGCTCAAATTCTAGGTTGGTAACACATGTCAACAAACAATTACAATTCAGAGTGATAAGTGTAATAAGATCTGGGAGAAGCAGCAGTAGCATTTGAGCAGTGTCTTGGAGGATGAATTGACATTGATATGGATAAAACAGCATGTACAAAAAGTCAGAAGTATAAAAGGATGCGTAGTGTGTTTGGAGAAATGCAAGTTGTCTTGTTCATGTCTGTTTCTGTCTATG